AGACGGGTGTTTATGATTTTTTCAAATATTTTACACATGCTGCAAGTTAGTGAAATTGGTCTATAAGATGTTGGGTTTGATGGATCGGAATGGGGTTTTTGAATTGGTATTACTATTGCTTGTTTCCATACATTGGGAAATTTACGTTTTAACCATATTGTGTTTAATAAATTTAGGAGAAGGTCTTTTGCTTTGGGAGGAAGATGTWGCAACAAAGGAGAAGGAATGTCATCTGGACCGGGACTGGTGTTTTTCTGCTTGTTAAGTGCCTCTTCAAGTTCATATCTTGTAATAGGAACGTTTAGTACACCATCATTAAGATCTTCTCTGTCATTTTCTGTAGATTCTATCTGTTGTTTGTGTTGTAAGAATGCTTCATTGTAATTTGAGGAACTAGAAGCACCCTGGAAGTGGTCAGCTAGGATTTCGCTAACTAGTTTATCGTCATGAGTAAGTACACCATCTCTGTTTCGAATTTCAATACTCTTCTTTATATAATTTCCTTTTAGAGATCGAATTTTTTGCCAAATTTCGCGTGAGGAGGTTGTAGGTGTAATACTCGAAATATATTTAGCCCAGGATTCYTTTTTATTTTGTTTTATTACGTATCTTTGTTTAGCACGGGCTCTTTTGAATTCTATAATGTTTTCCATAGATGGGTGTCTTTTGATTTTATTAAAAGCTGTCTTACAGGCTCGAGTTGCTTGCGCACATTCATCGTTCCACCAAGGTACTCTTCTTGTAGGTGAGTGTGATTTTGAAGGGATTTTCCCAACAWGCCGATGTGCTGCTGATAGGACAGTRTTTGTAAGTTTTCCAAGAAGAACTTCTATGTCTTCCGAATGAACGTTGTTCTCTAGGGCAAGTTCTATGTCTTGTGCATAAGCTTCCCAATTTGCCGTTTCAAGCTTCCACTTTGAAGGAGAGAACCAATTTTTCTTTTCCAAGTGTGAGTGATTTAGTTTTATGGGAAAATGATCACTGCCGTGTAATGTAGAGTCAACTGACCATAACAAGAGGGGGGCTAGTGAATTTAAAATACTTTAACTTTAAAAAATCATTACTCAATAACTATTAGGCCGATTTCCTTCAAATAAAGACCAATCTAAAGGCATGGTCTTGCCCTTTAGAATGATATAAAATTTGAAATTGAATATTGGCAAACTTTTCTTCGAACAGTGTTCGAAGTAAATCGAAATAATCTAAGAAAAACCCTACGAGTAATTATTTTTTTCATCATTACCATCGTGTAGAGCATCTCTTTATTAGTTGTAATCCAAATTTTCAAAAAAATATACCGAGTAGTTTTCAAGATATGATTTTTTGAAGTTATGGTTTGCTAATCAAGCATTGCTTCATATAGGAGAAATGCATGTTAATCTTACTTAAAATTGCATTTTTATAAAAGTATTTGTTTTAAAACTCTTCTTTTGCTTAAAAATGGTTAATTGCATCTTCTTTGTTCTAATTACAATAAACAAAAACTAAACAGTTTACTTAAAACAAATAAAGAGTACCTGCGTACTAATTAAAGCAAATAAAGTTTTTTTGTTGTAAAAATGACCACTGATCATTAAGCAAAGAGGATCTAGAAGTTTAGCTTCAGTTAGCTTGTAGGTAGTAGTTGTTGTGATAACAGTTGCACACGAAGCAACTGACTTATTGCACTCAACATCAGTAGAAGGTGATGAGAAAGCATTTGCTGAGAACATTTTCAAAAAAAAAAGTTCAGAAAGCTAGAACAAAGTGAACAGGTTGGAATCTGAATGGAAAGTCATTTAATTTGAAAAAGATTTGTTCTTATATTTAAAGCTACTGCTTTAAACTTCTAGATCCTTTTTGCTCAATAATCAGTGATCATTTTTAGAACAAAAAACTCTTTATTTGCTTTAATTAGTACACAGGTACTCTTTGTTATTCTTTGTTTGTTTTAAGTAAAGAAACAGTTTTTGTTTATTCTAATTAGAACAAAGAAGGTGCAATTGACCATTTTTAAGCAAAAGAAGAGTCTTACAACAAATACTTTTATAAAAATGCAATTTTAAGTAAGATTAATATGCATTTCTCCCATATGGCGCAATACCTGAATAGCAAACCTTAACTTCAAAAAATCATATCTTAACTAGTCTGTACATTATTTTAAAAATTTGGATTCTTACTAATAAAAAAATGCTCTACACGATGGTTACGAAGATATTAAATATTTAGTTCAAAGTGTGTGGACTTTTTGAAATTTTTTTTAGTGCATTTGATTTGTCTTACTGAGACGAACAAAATGATATAAAATTTGTCAAGTTGTCACGACATGACTTTTTTTGTCGCCTTGTGTAATCTTAAATTAAACGCGCTAGCAATAACGTGCATCAAAAATGAAATGCTCTCAGTTTTGACAAAATTATTAACGTATTTGCTGACAAAAAAGCCAGAAAGAAACCTTTTTGAATCAACAGTCATTGTTTTTTAAAATCATCTCCCATTTTTATTTTTATTTTTGAATTATACTAATTGCTATAAATAAACAATACGCGTTTATTAAGTAACAATTTTACGATCAGTTTGATACTCACCATTACCATTATCAAGATTAATAAAAAAACAGAAAAGAAGAGAATGCTATATCAAACACTACCTAATATGTAAAAAATGTGTTAGTGAAACAGAAAAAAATTAATGGGGAGAGGGGCCGAAATTTTGTTAGGGCTTTGGGCGCCAAATTGGGTACGCCACTGGCTAGACTATAAAATATTTCGTTCTACTTTTAAATGGGTAAAAATGACTTTTTGAATTAAATGCCCTTAAATGTACACTGCAGTGCCATAGCTATCACCACTTTACACAACGCTTGTATCACAGATTCTTCTTTTACGCAGAAATCAAATGTTTATAACCATTTCATTAAAAAAACACAGTTGCAACGGTGCCAGTGTGGCAACAGCAATGGCACAAGTTATAGGCATACTTACCTATTATTGAAAAAATTTCAGTGTTTGTAGTATTTTAGATTTTATATTCATGTTCGTATGTGTACATTGTTATTTTTGTTATTATATTGAAACTTTTTTGCAACACTGTTTTTTTATAAAATTGTCCTCTCCCAATTAAAAAATACTTACCATTTAAAACAAACAAATTATCACTTTCAGTGAAAGAAATATCTTTTTAAAAAAAACACCCGAAATTTTAAAACAATCAAATATTTTGTAGATTCAAATAAATATGACTATTCAATTCACCGTTCTTTTTAAAAATATTAACCAATAAAATAGCAGAGATTTCCTTTCGTATATATTCCATTCGTGGTTAAATACAATTGGATATTCAACTTTGCTATGACAAGCCAATCTTGTGTAACGTAAATTTGCCATTTGGTTCATTGAATAGTCTGTTAAAAACCATTCGTAGTCAAAAATTGTACAATATTCTTTCAGTCATTCAAACAAGCGAATGACCATTCCTAAAAATATTCGACAATTTTTGACTACTCGTGGTATTATAACTGATTATTGAACCAAATAACACTTTTGTCTATTAGAAGTAAATGTTTTTTTTTTTAATGAAAACTAAAGTTTTATTTAAAGTTAAAGTAGTTTTGTTTTATTTTAACCAATTATTGTATTAATAAATATAAATAAATAAAACAAGAGACGCAAAAAAATATTTCCTTGCTCATATACAGGGTGATTCTTAAATAGACCAACAAAATTTTATCCTTGGTAGTAACAAATGAGTACATGCTGGAAAAAATATTTAAAAAATTCTTTGTTTAATCGTTCTCCAAATAAAATTTATTAAAGTTATTTTTGAGGTAAAGCGTACGCCACTGATGTGTTTGTAAATAGTATTAGCACAGGTAGTGGAAACCATGGTATTAATTTGATGAAAATGTACTTGATCATTGCAACAATTCATAAACGCCGTAAGTGGCACGGATTAAGGGGTTTTTGCCCCTAAAAGATATAAACGTAAAAAGGGTATAGTTTGTCTTCATTTATCCTTGGGAAGCTCTGATAAAATTTTGTCGGTCTATTTAAGAATCAGCCTGTAGAAACAACAAATTTCTTTGCTCTAATTAAATTTTGCGTGAAACAAAATAATTTTTTTCTCTGTGTAGTCATCCAACTGAAGTACTGAATATTAATTAAAATTATAAATTTTAAAACAACGCAGTTTAGGTTAGATGATGATCAGTCTGTAATAAAATACAAATTAGAGTTTTCTTGGTCCAAGATGTTTATTGCCATAATTGCTAACACCCCCTATCTGTTCTTGGCAACTTCTGTTCTCTTAAACCCAGGAAACGCTAATTTGCATTTTATTGCAGACAGATCATCTTCTGTCCTAAGCTGCATTGTTGTAAGATTTATAATTTTAGTCAATGTTCACCATTTCAGTTAGACGACATAAGTCTGGGTCAGGTTCCTTAGATGTTGAAGGGATTGGTTCCCGTTCCTTTGCTGAGCTGTTTCGGTCTACCATACAGAGTTTTGTTTTGCAAGTTCTTTGAAACCTGGGATATCGTAAATAGTCATTGTCCAGCATGTTTTTTTTTGTCCAGACGCCTATGAATGAGATTTATTTTTTCAAAATTATTTTTTTTTCAAGCGAGAATAAAAAACTTCCTAGCTAATACAGAGGGGTGATACGAGTATGAAAAGCTAATAAAAAAAAATCTGGTGTGAACATCACACGACTTTCCTTATCCTACTTATTTGGAAAACATCTTTACGACAATAATGTAGTGTTGGAAATCCGAGTAGCAAACCTAACGTTTGCGTTAGTGCCACCTGCCGGATTACACGCGAAATAGATCATAGTTGTCGCGGGTTCGAGTGTGTGGTGATATTTTTTATTAGTTCGGTACTCATTATTATTTTTATTTTATCACATTTTACTGTTTAATGATTCTGTTCATGATTCTAAATAATTTTATCCCTATAAATTTATTGTATGTTCAACTGTTCACATTTAGCCAAAAACTATCTTGGATGAATAAAAAGCAATAAAATTAAGTTTTCTGTATTATTGAAAATGTATAACAATCGAATGAGTTACAGCAATTTAGAATATGCCCAATTTTTAATTAAGGAATGTATAATTGCAAACAATTAGAGAAAACAAACAAAAATAATTTGAACATTCAAGTGACTGCTAGGTAAACCAAATCTCGTAACAATTTATTTGGTGTCTTATTATCAATAACCATCTTACAACTAAATTATAATTTAAAATTAACTTAAATTATCATTACAATAACTGTACTGTATCGTTTGGATGATTTTTGCTTGTAAGCCAATGCTTTACCGCCACGATTGATGTGATAACAAAGAAAAAATTTTAACAAATGGCACTCTAAGGCAAAATCGTTCCATAATATCGTCCATATTCAGTAAAGAATTTTCCCACTTGAAAAACCTACATTGAAAAAATAAAAAGTGTAAATTACACACTGGAAAAACATACTGGTAAAAAAAGTAATTCTGTATATATTATTTACATTTTGTACAATATTTCAATAGATTTAATGGCTAATATGTTACATTAAAATACCATACAACGAAATCAGTAGCAAGCAAATAACAACATTTACATGTGTTTGTTAGTTTCCCTCTAATATCGTCACAAGCAGACATTGCCACTGGTCACAAAAAAAGCACACAAAAAAGTGGTAATATTTTATTGGTTTATAAAAAAGAATATAAAAAAACATGTACAAATTTCGCTATTAGAGGTAAACTGTTTGGATTTAAGAAAAATATCCAGCCGTACAAATCAGGATCTTTCTTTAAATAAAAATAATTTTGCAATACCACATCTTCAATATCACAATTACAATCGAAGCTTGTATATTAAAATTCCGTTGCATGATAAAATTAACATTAAAATACCTTTGACAGTTAGAGCATTGCTGCCACAATCAATTAAAGAAAATCGAAATCAATCTGAATATGAGACGAGAAATTAATTGATTGATTAATTACACTAGAACTTATCCTGAAATAAAAATAAGTTATTAGTTGCCGCCACTGCAATGATATTCTCTGTAGGATGCCAGGCTGTATGTAATATTTTTTTATTAAAATCTAAACAGTCCACACTAATTTCATCTTTTTTACGTTTGCCTCCCGAACACACTTTTCTCGGTTTTAATATTGTTTTAGGTTTGGCGATGTCCTTCGAAGCTTCCAGCGTCACTTCCCGTTTCGTTGTCCTATCGAACATCCTAAAGAAATTGTTATAGGAACCAGTCATTATTGCCATGTCATTGCCGTTCCAGCAGCACTCGAACTTATCGAATATACAATCGTTCTCGTACAGTGAACACAACTTCGACCTTAGATATTCGTGAACCTGGAAAAAAAAATATTACGTCAAAAAATATATATTTCACGCGACGGAAACTACTTAATTCAATATCCTACGACGAGCATGCAATCTTTCAACACACATTTAGAAACATTTATTTTTTCTATTAATCGGTTTTCTTTTCATTAAATTGAAATTAAATTGACAACATAAACCACCGCTTTTTTATGAAATGTATTATTATTCCGCTTAGGCATTTTGTAAAAAAGTTTTTCCTTAGTTACGGGAATTGCTACAGAAACACTGAACTATTATTAATTATTAACAAAAAATAAAACAACTAATAAAAGGTAGGAAGGAAGAATATATGAGGTTAAACACTTTAAAAGCTTAAGTCAAAAAATTTCTCCAGATTAAAGCGCCAACGGAAATCAAATGAACTCAAAAAAATGCCCAGGTGAGACTCAAGACGGCGATGACATAAACTATCAAAATGAAACGTCACACTTTTGTAATCAATTGTCATTCATTTTCGTTTCGGTGTTTCAAAGTCAAATTTATGTGACAGGAAGGTTTTTTAATCCATTTTATCAAATTATTCACTAGCACATTTGTACGCCGGGGTTATCGATAAGGTGTCCTAAGTTTTAGGACAGGCGCAAAAATAAATATTTCTAGTTGAATAAAAAAGAAAAATTGATAATTATATTAATGCCCGGTTTCTAGAACTACAGGGTGATTCAGATAAGATAATGAGACCGACGTTCTGGCGATGCAACCCAAAAAACAAATTTCATTTACGTCTTGATCTAATTTTAATTACGATTTGCATTTGCAATCAAAGTTATCTTATGTTGCTCTGACAGTACTTTGACAAGCAATTTATGATTTATAAATAAACTGTTTGCCTACCTTTAATGTTTTATTCTTTCATACATTTTGTTGGATTTATATCGAAAAGACTTTTCTAATTTCTCTATCATTCCGCGAGAACTGAATGGCACTAATGTCAGAGTGACATAAGATGATAACTTGGATACAACTTGCAAATCCTAATTTAAATTGGAGCAAAGGCGTAAATGAAATGTGTTTTTTGGGTTGCATCGCCAGATCGTCAGGCTCATTATCTTAACTGAATCGCCTTGTATTTAACATTAGATAAATTTTATCGTTTCGAAAGTTACTAAGGTTGCGCTGATCTGATTGGATAGCAATTATATGTAGAACCTATAAAATTTATCTACAGGGTGTTTACAGTCTTGAGGTTAAAATTTAAATGAGATGATATTCACGGTAGAAGAAAACTAATACGCTATAAAAAAAATCACGATGTTAAAGGAAATTATTCATTTTACAGTATTTGTTTGAGAAGCTTCGGCTGTGACAATGGCCATTAGTATCATTACCTTGTGTTTCACCGTAAATCATAATCACGACAACCAATTTATTATTTTAATATTTTGCCATACCTACATGTTCATAAATTTGGAAAAACGAATCAAACATGTTGGAAACCAGTCGCTGAAAGAGATAAAACAGAAGAACTTCGAATTTTGATAAAAAACTAAAGTAAAAGCAAATCAAATGATGACAGTGTCAAAACTCTGAAGTGACATTTCTCTTTCATTGTCATGGATACGATTTTTTAATCTGTTGCAACAATACAATTTTATCTGAACAAGGAAATAATTCCAGTGACCCTCAAACCGTGAACCAATATTTTGGGAGTTAAATAACATTCTTGATAATCACAATTGTGCAAGTTTTTACTCGGTTACAGTATTTCTGTACTCTTCTAATACTAGATCAATTTTCAACTCCAAGACTGGTTTCAGAAACCGAGCTTAAAATATAATTCAGTTTGATATTTTCATATTATTTAAAATTCTTAGCGTATGGCAGTGAAACCCTACAAACTAGCTTTGAAAAAAAAACTAGTTGCTGGATATTTTCTAAATGATAAAATTAAGTAATTTTTCCAATTGTTGAAATAAAATAATACACAAATCGATTAACACTAACTTAATATTAAAAACCTAAAAGTTTGAATACTTTTTGGTTGGGTTTGTGATGATAATTGATTACCTTATTTGAAAATTTTCTCTGGGGCGCGAGTTCTGGCGCACCCTGTATGTTAAAAATATACAGGCTGTTACGGCTATGCCCCACATTAAAAGTATGGAGAGTTTCAGTACTGATATGTATCTAAAATTTTGTTTATAACCAAAATCAGTTAGGTTCTACTCAAGGAAAATATTCTCAAGATAGCGGAACTTTCGATTACACCGGAAGTGGTTATCAACTTCGTTATTTTAAATAGAAAGCAGTTTTTATTGCGTTCTTGGCTTATTCAAATGATTTTGAGAGAGTTTTTATTAGCTGTCCTGGATGAGGCATGAAGATGTTGAAACTGCATGATGAGCTTGCACTTCTCTGATGTATTCTTTCTTTGTTCCTTAATTTAGGTAATGGGGTTGTAATATATAATATTTCTATTACTACAGATGAAGAAACCAACTCTAAACCATCGAACCTTCTCACCAATTTTCACTTATAATTACACGAGAGCTTTTTTTTCGAAGTAAACTTGACATTTTAATAAGAATTTTGTTTTCTGGCAATTTAACGAAAAAAACTGCTTCTGAAAAAATTAGGAGTCTGTAAGACGAGTAATTTTTTCTGGCAGTTTTTTAAAAATGTCAAGTTTCCTTCGTAAAAAAAGCTTGAGTGTAATTCGGTAAGACAATTTAATGAATACGTAAATCACTAAATTAACAAATAAGGTGTAAATTAGTTTATTTAATTTAATGGAAAGTACTTCTACTAGATTCAGACGCTTTCAAAAGTTAGGTTCCGTTTTGTCGCTGTAATAGTTAGGGCCAACCAAAATTACTTCACACATCAGCTTTTTAACTTCAACTTTTTGACACAAGCCCGGCAAAGTACGGTTGGATTCAGTACGATACTTACTACGTTTCCATGAGGAATTGAATTCGAATTGAAAACGGTATTGGGATTGAGTCCGTGTGTGTTTCCATGAAGTATTTTGGAAGTTATTTTATTCCACTAGTGGATAAAGTGGTACTTTATTCGCATTTAAAGTGTGGAATAAAGTCTCTTTATAGAGTATAAAACAAAATGCACACTAAAGATGTTGTAAAATTGTTCACCACAGGATGTGTTTTCCTCATCCTCATACGGAGGCAGGTGTGTCAAAAGCCCACTGAGCAAGCGTTGCGATCAACTGTAGCCATAGGCGTCGATTTTGGGCGTCGCATCGCGTTACGTAGTCGGGTTAAGCTTGCTATTCGCAAAATCCATATTCACTAATTAATGAAAAATAAACATATGATTTCATATGTATTTATTAAAAAAATAAATATGTGACAACATAGTAACTAAAATATAACTGGATAAACAACTTTGCTATGACAAGGAAATCATGTGTAACGCAAATTTGCCGTTTGGTTCATTGGAATACTCTGTTGAATACCATTCGTAGTCAAAGATTGTAGTATACATTCATGGTCATTACGCTTGCGAATACCATTCGTGCTACGCACTCATAGTATTCATAAGCGAATGACCATTCATAAAATTTTTGACTACTCGTAGTATTATAACTGACAATTTTAGAATTTTTCTAAATGTCATAGTACAGGCTGAGTCACTTATAATAGAGACTCTGACCGATTTTTAGATGCAACCCAAAATACATTCTCACAGTCAACTTTGCTTTTGGTACGTTTGAAAATTTAGTTCATTAATTTCAAATCAAAGTAATTGTTGACATGTCATTAGTTAAATTAGACATTGTCAAAAATTCTACTTTCTTTTTCCCTTGCATGGTGTTAAATAAGACAATGTCATTATTGTTAAAAGGGACAAAAAGAAGAAAACACTGACAATATTAATTACTTATAACAAATCAGAGAAAACATATAACTTAGAGTGATTAATTTACTTTATTATTATTTATTTATTTATTTTGTTTACGTTTAATAAGATTATTGTTAAGGTTATTTTTTTATTGACTCCATTCTACACTGCATGTAGAAAGTCATTTCCTAATAATGTATTGTGCTAAATTTGATATGTTTTTACAAATTACTGTATAGAACACTTTCAGCACAAACAAAAAAAAATGTTTTTTAGCTTCTAACTTGCACATAACCTCAAAAATAATTTGAAGAATCTTCGCGATGACGCCCAAGGCTACCCTAGAAATTATGACTTATTACAGTTACTACGTACTTGGTTGTTACATATTAATGTTTTTAAATAAATATCGAAAGATAAAGATAATATGTAATCGAGTCATCCTTGGATCCGAAAACGTATGTCTATGAAACGTCAAATAAAATGACAAGTCGAAAGGTAAAATGGCATGATCAAAAAGATGATGACTTTAAAAACTAAATTTATTATTTACTTTCAGAAGAAAAAACGTATCTGGTATTATACGTTGGCGACTAATTCACTAATTCCAGCCCATTTTGCCGTGCAGTTAGTTCGAGAACAGACATACGTTTTCGGATCCAAAGATGACTTGATTACAAATTATCTTGATCTCTCGTATAAAAATATATGAAATTATTTGATTTATTTTTTATTAATTAGTGAGTTTGAATAATTTGCAAATATCAAATACGTGACGTGACGCGCCGCCTATGGCTACAGCTGATCGCAACTTTGTTCATTGTGGATTGTGGCCTGTTAACTACATCTGCAGGGCTTTAGTTTTGAATGTTATGATTATGAATTTATGAATTATGATACGTTCAGAATTGATCGCTGCGGTGATAAATTTACAGTTTGCGTTTTTCTGCTCGAATCTCAATTCAACCGGCACTGATACGACTGTGATTTCAATCGATCCAAAGGTAAAAATAAACTGATTTATTTATTATAGGTCTTAATGTCGCAATATACATGGAATTTGTTTCAAATTAACTTAGTAAGCGTACTACAGTGTGATCAAAAAATCTGTCTATCAAGCACGTCTGGAAATTTGAAACGTGTGCCTGTCGAATATTAAGTAAATG